CTACTATATATATATATATATATATATATATATATATGGGTTACTCTAGGATACACCATACTAATGGTGAAACTAGAATCTGCTATTCCAAAAATTTTGACCATAAAATACCCTTACATGGTCAAATTTGACTTTTTACTATAAATATTTCACGTATTTTAAAAAGCGTGTTTTGGTCTTTTTAAAATCCCTACAAAAGTCAATTTCAAATTCAAACAGATTCTTTTGACTCTTTTAATGATGATTGGACATTAAAGGTAAGTAAAGTTTACAAAAATGAGCTTCTCAAAATTTTCAAGTAAGCCATTGTTAATATACTTTGTTCTATTTGTAAGGGTATTTGATGTCAAAAATGTTGGAGTAGCAAATTCTAAATTCACCATTAGTGTGGTGTATTCTAGAATAACCCTATATATATATATATATATATGCACTTGAAGAATCCAACACTTCATACCCACACCAAATACCACCTGTACTCGTATCGTATCCATGCACATAAGATACTAGATACTCTTAGGGTACTTCTGAATATACATAATAACATAAGGACAAAATAACAAATTTATGCAGTATAATTATGACATGTCCAAAGTAAAATATACAAGGACAAGGTTTCTATGCGGCCAGCCCGCATATTGTAGAAATGCGGGCTTGGCAATAAATATATGTTTTAAATATAATATGATCTTAATTTTTAGAGAATATATAATCTTCAACAAAAAAAATTGAAAACTAGAAATAATAATTATATTAAAAAAACATTTGGACCATTAGTTACACTTGTTTTTAGATGGACCACCTATTTGCGTCCACCTTTAAGATGGATGCTTTATACCTCTGGGCTGTATATTGTAGAAATTGGTCCAGCCCGCATGAAACAATTTTCCAATATATAATATCATATCTCTAAATGAACTATGGATGTTTTAGAACATGAAATATTATATAGTTGAAGTACAATAGGAAAAGAATATCAACATAAAAAAGATATATGTGATTCTTTTTTACTAGGAAAAGCATATTTTTATCCATGTCACCACAGCGAATATTCTTGCAAAGACGCTGCGTTTGACAAGCAACCCACTTCTTTTGATTGGCATAAGCAAACCCCATTATATCTTTATTTAAATAAATAAATAAATGAGCCACTGCCAGCAATCATTAGAAACAAGGAGTTCAATTTGGGGAACAAAAGATATTCCACAATCTCGACCTGCCTTTTATGTTCATGCAAAGAATATCATGACAAGAATTTGTGGACAACAACTTAAAACCATAAGAGAAGTATATGATGCTTCGATATGTTGATTAAACTTGCCTGGTAATGAAGTCAAAAAACTATAAGGAACACTAAAACTCTATTCGATGATCATTTCTATTTTGTGTTGGCCAATATAATCTTGCCACCAAAATAAATTAAATAACACACATGAACGATTCGTGGCAGAAAATATTTTTTTTCTTTTTCTTTATCAAGAAAGTACTCCAAATCTTGAAAGTAAAGAGCAACTAAAAGGGATGGTTAATGACAAACATAAGAAGTGCCAAAAGGCAGAATATATTCCAACTCTCCAAAGTAAAGCAACTAAAATGGACAGTGACAAACCTTGGGAGTACCAACAGCAATACTGATATCAATGTACTCTCGGTAAATGATATCATCACCATCAATGACAGCGTTGATTATAGGCTGATTCTGGAGCCCACTAACAGCAGCCTAAAACAATGTGAGAGACAATGTGAGAGACATGACAAGTGCAGCACAACTGCTCGTAAATTCCAGAGGAAACAAATATACCTTAATAAACCCTGACATGAGTCCTAACTTTACACCATGTTTCTCCACAAAAGCATCCTTATACTGAGCACGAAGTTGCATCAAATTTGTCCTGCAGCATATAGAAAAATCAGTGCTTTGAAATCAATCATAATACAATGATGGCAAAATAACAAATAAAGTATGTGCGAATCCACAACACTATAGTGGTTAAAAGCACTATAATGAATTGAGAAAAATTAATCAATCAAAATCAACTACTGATGACAGTGAACAGTTGGCTCACATGTCAACTTCATTGAATGTTGTGAGCATGGCAAAAGTATTTTGTGAATCCTTCAAACGCGTAGCAACACGTTTCCTCAGCCTTGTCATAGGAACCTGAAATCACATACATACAAATTACTTATCCAAAGACAATTGAAAACAAGGATATCCATATGAGTGTTTCTAAGGAGTCGGGACATAGCAATTATAAAGCAAGGTCCAATTCTGATTTCTGAAATCATAAATCAACTCTCAACACAAAATGTCTTACTCAATTCTGAAATAAGGATGTTAAAAAAGGCTTTTAGATCTGAACCTGAGTGGGAAAAATAAAAAGAAGGCAGGTATCATATCTTAGGTTTCATAGGTAAGTGAAGGTATAATTGTCCACATGCAAAGAACACTACAGCCATTTAAGTTTGGATCAAGGGAAGTTAAGCCAAAAATTTGAATGACATGCAATAAACTTGTTCTTTCTCATAGTTTAATCCTTTCTAAAATATGACAACAATGAATATGTCAAAACATAAGTGCGAGATTTGCACTTACTCGTCTTTCTCTTTCCTTTGGAGGAAGCTGGGGTTCTGAGGGTGAGGATCTAGAAGGTGCAGGAGTGGGTGGTTTAGGCTTTACTTTGGCAGCTTCCTCGGTAGGCTTCTTCTTCTCAGCTGGCTCCTTCTCTACCGGGGCCAACGGCTTAGGAGCCTCTTTGGTTGGCTTCTCTTTGGTGGCTGGCTTCTCATCTGATGGTGCTACGGATGCAGTACCAGATCTAGAAATTACAGCAATCGTGGTCCCTGGTACTACTGTATCACCTTCCTTGGCTACAAGCTACAAAGCATTACATGTTCCAAAAAAATATTATAGATCTATCACATTAAAAGAGCACAACATTATCAAATAAACAGAAGAAAGATACAGTCATTGGCTAATACTAGCGATAGCACAGTGAACTGGTTAAGACTATAGATATAGTTAACTTTTGGGCTTGTGCATGTAAGGTTTTGACAATTGCAACATTACATCCAAAGTTTGAATCCCGCTGCTGAAATACCCAAAAAAAAGTAAAAAGACAGCAGAGGTACTTACCTTTTCAATAACTCCAGCTTCGGGACTAGCAACGTCAATGGTGACCTGACAATAAAGAAACAAGCAGATAGGTTTTTAAAGATAAAGAAGTCCCAACTTGATACAAACAAATGAAACAATTTATTTTCAGGGAACTAGTAGGATTTTTGGGAATGGGTGGTTTTTTTGGGAACAACTGGGAATAGTCTAACGCAAAGTAACTAACATTATTACAACTCGCTAAGGTATGATACTTGGGTGGGACCAGGAATAGCATGAATGACATCTATGAAGCCCTTCTACAGCACACCACACTTATCATGAAGTGTGAGAGAGGGAGAGAGATGAGACATCAGAGGGCCCTCAAGTGTACCTTATCAATATTCAAAGGAATAGAATGACAAACCTTACAAAGTTCACTCCTTATCCAAAGTCCTTTCGTAAGCAATATCATCTTTACCTATGTGTGTATGTAAGCACACAGGTGTGTGTGCAAGAGAGAGAGAGAGAGATGGTGAGACACCAGTGAAGCCTTGAATGTACCTTATCGGTTTCAATTTGAGCAATCGTCTCATCAACTTCCACACGGTCACCGGGTTCTGCACACGAGAACAAGAACCAGAGCCCCCACAACAGATTATGAAGCCATATTGTTAATAAATTGCACAAGAAACAACAAGAAGTAACTTACTCTTCAGGAAAGTTGCCAGTGTGCCATCACTAATTGATTCACCCATAAACGGGACAACCGCTTCAACGAAGTCACCTGCAATTATAAGTGGCAAAGAATCCATAACACTCATCAGTATGTAGTTAGTGTTGAGAAAGTAGAGAAAAAGAAGACCAGCACAGAGAGGCCACCGCTATCTGATGAGAATGTCCGACTCCATGCATGAAATGGACTTTCCTTCTGAAACAATATGTGAACGTCCCTGAATAGCAAAACCCATTTTAAGGTTTCAGAGACCCACAATGCAAAATGTCAAATTCAGTATATTTTTTAAATAATTAGCATATAAAACACCACCAAACAACTAATAAAAAACAATCCCATCAAAGAGGAAAATCTGATACAAAATTACAAACCAATTGAAAAGCAATAAAAGCAAGTTAGACTGCAAAAGAACCACCACCTAATAGACGTTTGGAAAACTAAATTGTGCAAACATCTGTCAGAAAATTTATCAGATAAACCAAGGTAATCATGTCATCTGCTTACCTCGCCGTTCTATTACCAATCGTACCATGCCCATCTGAAACAACACTCAAATTTTGGAAAAATTAGCCTTTTCCAATTGAATAAAAGTATTAAATTAGGAAGCATTATCATTATGATGAATGGAAACGACAAAAAAACGACGATTAAAAACACCTGCCAAAATGCGAGAACCAATAGTCCGGGCCTGTGCATATCTTCTCACAAATAGCAGTCTCTGTACATGTATTAATATGGTGAGAAGATATACATAACTAATTCTAAACACAGGCACCCAACAAACTATTTTTTGACAAGAAACATCCAACATAATATGCTTAACAATAAAAGATATGAGCATGCACCTGGGGTGGTATTAATTAAGTTGAATGATAAAAGTAAGATGGATGTGATATTGGTCAAAAAGCAACAATGAAATGATAAACAACATAATAAATCGAAATTGTTATAAACATTTGGCATTCATTTGCAGGGTTAGCTCATCTTGCTGATTTTGCTACTCAGAAAATGAATATCCTTTGAATGAACCTCTGAATCTCATGTTAAATAGTTTTACCATTATGAAACCTCTTAGATGACCATCTAAATCTCATGTAGCGTAGAGGTCAAACCATTATGAAACCTAAAAATCCAGAGGCAACCCTAATTTTACAATACAGCCAAAAACTGAGGACCAATAAAGAGAGGGCACAGAAAGAAGGTTTTCCATTGTTTAAACCGAACAATAGAAACTCTATAGAAAATAAATGCTAACTTATATTATATGCTTGAATCTCTGAAAGTGCTCATAGCAAGAAATAACTGCAAAATAGTGGAGATTCAGTAATCAAATGCCATATGTGTTGTCCAAATACAAATTTTAAAAATCGTATCTGTGACAGGAAATAATACATCGATCCCAATTGTTGAACCAAGAAACAGAAATTCCTCCACAGTATTGGGAAAAAAAAAGAAGAACGAACCAGATCACAGCGAGCAAAATTTGCGCCAAAACCCAAGGTCAGGAGGAAAAAAACCCCAAGGCATGAAATCTTAGCTTAGAATGGAGAAAACCAGAAAAGAGAGGGCAAGGCATTACCGTAACAGGCCTTCGCATGAGACGAGCTAGAGACGCCATTTCTCTGCAATTTCAAGCTCCGAGCTTAGACAGAAAAGAGTTCCCTAGGTTTTCGGGTTAGCGGAAGAGAGAAATGGAGCGAGAGCGATGGTGGCGGCCTAATGCGACCAAAATGGACTTCTAGAGAGAGAAACAGAATGAAGTTTAAAGATCTTCTCTCTCTCAAATGAAGGTGAGCAGTAGATGATGGAAGGAGTCTTCCATGGATTTTTAAACTCGACTAAAAAACCCTACTTTTTCATGTTTTTCCGTTCTACGGCCTAAAGTTCCCTCTGGTTCTCGAAAAAGTGGCACGCTCTCTCGACCCTTTTGGGGGGCAATCCTCTCTCTCTTCTTTCTCTCTCCTCTTTGTCTCTCATGGACACGCGTGCCCGACTCGCTTTCTGACTCTCTCTAGTTAAATTTGGGACGAAACTATACTTTCCAGCCCCAGGCTTGAGCCCGGCTTTGTGGGCCTAAGAGGACCTAGAGTAAGTGTGGCCTTGGGTCCGGTGCCTCGCTTGGCCCCGACTTCAAATAAAATATTTATGTATTTAACAATATTTAATTATATTTCATAAATTTGGACTAACAAAATATTACCGAATCGAAACTCAAATAAACCAACCTACAAGGTCTAATTTTTGGACCCTAACCCAAATCAGATCTACCCCTCGGGTCCAGGTCCATTGCAGACCTAGTCTTATTGTGACTAGGCCAGACATAATAGATCCAAAAAGAAAAAAGAAGTTTGTAAGAAAAAAAGAAGAGTTGTAATGCCATGCTATGGCTCTTCCCCAGGCCTTAACCATGGTGTCTCAGCCTTGGCCAGGCTCTCAAAGCCACATTTTGTCTCCTCGGCATAGTTCCATAACTGGGCTGGTCCGACCCAGTTTCAGCTTGGGGTTAGCCCCCCTCTCTTTTCACATCAAACCAATAACATTTCGTAGAAACAAGGGGGACACTTCTCCACGACCTTCAAATATCGAGCTTTCGAGGTTAAAGTCAAGAGCGTCCAAGAACTTGGCGGCATGATAATTGTTTAAAACCCGGCGATTTTCAATTCCCAATGTTAATCGGTTCTGAGTTGATATGGCCCTACCCGCTTGCGCACTAATATTTTTTTATATTATTATTTTATTTTTAATTTATTTAATATTTTTTTAGATCCTCTCTAAATTCACACTCCTTAAACCCTTATATTAATCCTTTATATTGTTTTAAAAGTTTATATAAGTGTGAAGCACTAAACAATCAAATTAGAGTGCACCTCAAATTTTTTACTAGAATAGGTTGTTTTGATTCTCAAATATCCTTAAATTGGTCATCTCAATCTCAAGATGCATGGACATGAGAAAAAAATGGATTTCAAATTTTGAAAATTGTACATCTTATAATGTATTTTTGGACCATCAATTTTCAAGATTTTCAAGTTTTCACATATCTGCTCCATCTATACTATTTTCAAAGCTTTAAATTTTATACTTATAGATAAATATATATTTTAAGGCTATCACAAAGATTTTCCGTAGTGAAACCACATTTTTTTTTATAGAATGTGCATTTTACTTTGTTTGTTCAGAGCATCGGCCTTATACAAGTCGCACTCCTTTATTTATTGATAGTTTATGGATCACTAGTTCGGACCGATCTAGGCCTGATCTCAATCATCAATTCAATAATCTGACACAGATATGTGGGTGAAGGATCCACCCCTCCCATCCGAATTTTAAATATCATTCCTAAAAAGTCCCTCACTATCCATACAAACAAGATTAATGAAAACCTTATTTGAAAATAACCCTAAAATGGCTAGAAAATTGTCCCAAACAATGTTTGGACCTATATAGGAAAATCGAACTGGAACGGTTAAACTGGACATGTACTCGAAAGCGGTTCAACCGGCCTAACTGGTAAATTGGTTGGTTCAATCGTTCTAACCGGGCAAGTCCCGAGTGGTCAAAAAAATATAATAAAATATGAAAAATATATTTAAAGAATGATTAAACAAAGCACATCCAAATAAAGTTTAATATTAATGAAAAAAATGGATTTTAACGAATCGTTCTGTGCCCAAGGGTATTTTAAAATTTTTCAAAAAAGATGGCAAAATGTAAAAATAAGTATTAATAGCCAAAAAATTTCCAATCTTTGTTATAATGATAAAAACATTAAAAAATACATTACAAATAAAATTCCTTATTTTTTAGGATTCTATATAATTTTTTTATGTTTTCTAAATACTCGGCCAGTCATCAAAACCGGACAAAACTAAAACTGGGCAGTAGCCGATTCCAATCTAACCAGGTGCTTACCGGTTTGATCACCTTCTTACATTGGTTTGGACTTATTATTCTTCTTGATAGACCTCCTAGGGTTTATATCCTCCAAGAATGCATGAGAATTACAAGGAATATGATACTTGTTACTTTGCTCACTTGATGTACTTTGCACAACATCATGAACCCCGGCTACCGGCATTTATATGCCTTTCTAAGCAAAATAAACCAATGGTACACGGTACTTCATGCCTAATCTTAGCCTGTAAAGTGTAAATATGAAAATGTCTCGAGACTTTTTCTTCTAGCAAATTTTGGTAAAATGAGTAGATAATGTTTGAATTCTTAATTCTATCTTATTGTGATTGTACTTGGTTATTTAATGGGTGTGGTTTGTATAAGGCTACAACCTTATATAATTAAAGTAAGGTGTATCTCTAAATTTTATCATAAGATGTAACTTTGGTGTAAAAAATTATTAGGATGGCTTGGGAATTCATTTTCATCTCTAATTATAAAATTCTAAACTCTAAACACGGTTCAAATCAAGTAGATCTAAATTTTGGAAATGGACGACCTAGATAATGTGCTACAGGATGCATTATTTTTAAGATTCGAATTTTTGTTGCCCATATTCATAAATTTCGATGTCAAAATTATCATTTAGAGAGTTTCCAAACATCATAACATCATTTTCTGATAGATTTTTTAGGTGCACTTTAATTCTACATTTTAAGGCTACAAGGCCACATGATAAATGCACAATGGTTATATGACATGTTTCTTACACAAATTGGAAGAAAGTTTTATATGTGTGAAAACATAAATGTTCTAAAATCTCGAGAACATTGAGTATCTAGAAGTTATGTTGTATCTATAACTCCTGAAGCTTAATTTCCCTAGAACACTATTATCTCTAGCCCACATCAATACTGCCTTGTTTGAACAAATCAATTATTTAAGAAAAAGCCCCATTTCCATGCCCACACTAATGAATAAAATGGCAATGCTGGTTCACTCCACTGGTCAGTAATGGGCTCGTAATGTTCACACGACAAGAGCAGAGAAGAACAAAGGAATCCCCTTCATCATGTGCTTTCTTATAACCAGCGTGTCGGGACTCTCTGCTTAGTAACCTGAGTGTGTATATATATATATATGAAAAATGTTGAGATTAGCCCATTAGCTCATATGAATATATGAGCCCAATGGTTTAGATTGAATCTGGGCTGATCTAATGATCACGATCTCATTTCGTATTTTAATTTCAATTTTTTTATACGAATCCAAATAACTTAAAATTTTAAGCGTGTGTTCTTAAAAAATGGTTGAATCTAATAAAAATATCAAAAAAACAATTTGTAATAAATAAATTAACCAAAATACCCCTGAAAAGTTTCAGTAGTATCTTGGTCAACTTAATTTTTGCAAATTATTTTTTAAATATTTTTATTAGGTGCTCTTGATGAGAAGAATCGATGCCTCCAATTTCAAGTTATTTGGGTTTGTAGAAAAAAAAATTAAAATTCAAACGAAATGTGGTCGTGACCGTCTG